AGGAAACGTTTACAACAAGAGACGTAAATGCCCTCTTTCGAGGGCAACGTACCTGCTAGTTAAAATATTAATAGAAAATATTTGTGGTCACAGCCATTTTACATTTCGAATTTAATTTCAAGAAATTCAATATTTTGTTTTGTTCTCGCTTTTTACAACTTGGTGGAGGTTTTAGATTCTTGCATGAGAGACCATAGCCCAATTCAATTTTGTCAATTTGAATTTTCACTGAGCGGATGATTGGTTTGGCACAATTTGACGAAATTGTATAATAATATGACGTTCCCAATTGTAATTTAAATATCATTAGAAAACATTGTTGGATTCAGCTGAATTTTAATAAAGAGGTATTCCAAGTTATCGGGATTTTTGTCCAACTTTTACAGAGATATCTCGGCTATCTAGCTCAAAATAAAATTTGCCCATTATACATACTTCTCCATTATACAAGTAGAATAAAGTTGGGTCAAACCAATGGTTTGTATTGTAGCATTTTTCCCTTCAGCAAGTGAAAATTCTGCTTTTAAATACAGTCTATGCATACTTATCACACTATTAAAATTATTTTCATTCATATTTAACTATTTCTAGGATTGCATATATTTAGGATGATGCATTCATGCAGTCTTTGAAATTAAGCAAAAATTAATATAAAGAGGGGTTAACATAATGCTCGATTTTAAGGGTTAATTGTGTGAGTTAAGAAAAATAATTATATTTTTTAATGTCACGGAATTTACCGCTAACTTTTTATGTTTATAGAAATTTGAAAACGTTTGCGATTTTGGAAATATAAGGCGCCAAAAATTCAAATTTTACAAATTTCAAGAGGCGATAACTTGAGAGGGGGTGGAGATGGAAAAAAATTTTCTTCTAACGAAATGAACTATTTGTTAATGTCTATAAGCCCCTAAAATTTCAAGCTTCTACAGGTTGGGGTCTAGAAGAAAAACGAAATCAAAAATTTGGAAAAAAAGACTTTAGATAACGGTAAATTTGAACGGCCATTTTGTTTTTCTAAAGTTTAACTATAGTATATCGCGCTAGGGGAAGCAAGCCATTTTTAGGGTTTCGGGGGGGTATAACTTCTAGAGGGGGGAAGATAGGTAAAAATTTTGTTCTACGGAAATAAGTTTCTAGTAAAGATCTATGTACATACAAAATTTCAGCTTTCTATCTTCAAGGGTGTAGAAGTTTTGTAAACAGACACACGGACAGACGGACGGACGGACGGACGGACGGACGGACGGACGGACGGTCGGACGGACGGACGGACGGTCGGACGGACGGACGGACGGAAGGACGGACGGACGGACGGACGGTCGGACGGACGAACGGACGGACGGACAGAGTGAAACTAATAAGCACTTTTTTTCAAAAATTTTTTGGAAAAGTGCTAAAAATGTTCACTTTTAGAGGAGACAAAAAAAATTTCACTTGTATAGGAATTTGAACGGTATCGAAAACAACTTTATTAATTGGAATTTTCCTATTGTTTATGTTCAGCTACAATAATAAAATCGAATCTTTAGTAATGGAACTAAAATCACAGTTGTATTTAGCAAGAGCTTTTAAAGTAACTCTGCTCTTTTATCTAAATCTAAATAAACGAGTTTTGCACTTAACTTATCATTTCGCAAGTAAAAAATTTTTTACTTGCGAAGTGATAAGTTGTAAAAGATTAAGGTCTTTGTCGTTATTTTGATAAAATTTTAATATGTACCTATAAGTTAGGAAAATTTATTTCCGTGTAGTTTCTTAACAAAATTTTAATCCATTTCTTATTATTTTTTATGATCCCTATAATTACCTACAAACTACAACTGAACTCGAAACAAAAAAAATGTCATCAAATCATTATTTTTATTTGGCAACATCATTATATAGTTACCAACTTCCCTTTTCATTTCAACAAATAAAATAAGTAGACACTTTTAATAAAACTATTAAAAATCATTAACTTTCTACTTATTACAAATTAAAATTTAGTCTGATTAAAGTAAGTTAAACAGAGTTTTATTACATTTTCTTTAAATTATAACACACGTATTTAAATTATAATAGGTCTTCCGGTCATTTAATTATGCTTGTACTTGTATAGTGTAGAGTGTAGACTAATAAAATTGTATAACCATTAAAAGCTATTATAATTATCTTTAATACGATAATTAAAAAAAAAATTACTTTTTAAAAACGAAGCAAAAATTTCTTTTGTAATAATTCATAATAGTTTAAATTTTAGCAATAAAATTTATGCTTGAAACTCAAATTTGACTATATTGAAAAAAAATTTGAATTCTCATAATTTCATTACATTCCGTGCTGAATCTATTCATCTATTTATGAAATTCAATAAAGTTGGGTCAAACCAATGGTTTGTATTGTAGCACTTTTCCCTTCAACAAGTGAAAATTCTGCTTTTAAATACAGTCTATGTATAGCTATCACACTATTAAAATTATTTTCATTCATATACAAAACTATTTCTAGGATTGCATATATTTAGGATGACGCATATATGCAGTCTTTGAAATAAAGCAAAAATTAATATAAAAAGGGGTTAACATAATGCTCGATTTTAAGGGTTAATTGTGTGAGTTAAGAAAAATAATAATATTTTTTAATTTCACGGAATTTACCGTTAGCTTTTTGCGTTTATAAAAATTTGGAAAACCTTGCGGTTTCGGAAATATAAGGTGTCAAAAATTCAAATTTTACGAATTTCAAGAGGTGATAACTTGAGAGGGGGTGGAGATGGAAAAAAATTTTCTTCTAACAAAATAAACTATTTATTAATATCTAAAAGCTCCTAAAATTTCAAGCTTCTACAGTCTGGGGTCTAGAAGAAAAACGACATCAAAAATTTGGAAAAAAAGGACTTTAAATAACGGTAAATTTGAGAGGCCATTTTGTTTTTCTTAAGTTGAACTATAGTATACCGCGCAAGGGGAAGCAAGCCACTGCCTTTCTGCGTTTCCAAAATTTCAAAAATACTTATGGTTTCATTGCAACAAATATTTAAAAAAGGCCATTTTTAGGGTTTTGGGGGGGTATAACTTCTAGAGGGGGGGAGATAGGTAAAAATTTTGTTCTACGGAAATAAGTTTCTAGTGAAGATCTATGTACGTATGAAATTTCAGCTTTCTATCTTAAAAGGTGTAGAAGTTTTGTAAACAGACACACGGACAGACGGACGGACGGACGGACGGACAGAGTGAAACTAATAAGCACTTTTTTCAAAAAATTTTTTGGAAAAGTGCTAAAAAGTAAATTTAAAAGATTGAGTTCTGGAAATATTAGTTATGAACTTTAACAATTTATAGGATTTAATTGCAGTAATCTAAATTCATTATTTTCTTCAAAATTCCTCGATATTTATATGTGATACTTCAGACTACAAGAATCTTATATTTAACAATATTTAAATTCAACAACTTGGAAAAAAATTCAGAAAGATTTGTTCTACAAGACTCAACAATTTCGAAATTTCTTTTAAAAAGTATTCCCCAACATAAGTCCAATATTTCAATATTAAAATTTAACAAACATCACACTAACGACCAACCAGTGTATAGAAACCAGTAGTAAAATTCGTTAGGTTTTAATTACTTAATGATTTCCATATTTTTATGGATGATGATTTCCTGATCTTGAAATTACTATGATGAATAATAAAAATTTAATTAAGTACAAATATTGGATGTGGGGCTTGGTTTATGGTTTAAGATTTGAGGTGATTTTATTTTACCTTTTTAGGAAGTTTGTATCTCAGTTTTTGTTTTTTTTCTTTGGTTTTTGTTTTTTCTTTAATTTATATAATAAATCAATATTGACTAATCAACAGCATAAAATTTTTAATTTTTTTGCTTTACCATCATTCAATTTTGTTTTTGTTTTTTTTTGTTAAATATTCTTTAAACTTTTTGAGTTTAATGGTTAAACAAACCTGGAGGAGAAAAAGAAAAAGTGAATTTTTTAAAGAAAAAAATAAAAAAAAATTAATTGAGTTTTTGGTTAGCGCAAAAAGTGCGTCCAATAAATTTTAAGAATTTTTTATATGAAATCAAAATTAATAGAGGTTTTACTTGTCGTATAAAATCGCGTAATTCCAGTCAATTAACATAAAAATTATTAAACGTCAAATTGAATTTGGCAGTTAATTCCAGATATAAAACAATGATATTTTATAGCTTAAAAGATTAGCTGACACTTTAATACCCGGTGCTCTAAAAACTAATGAATTTTATGATAGTTTTAGTTTATTAATAACGATTTCCGAATGAATCCACTAATTTAGAAAAGCGAAGACTTATTATTGTAAATAAGGAATCTTTCAGTTATAAAACTCATTCAACAATAACTCATAAAACTTTCAACTATTTTTGATTATACCAATAAATTAAAATTTTATCATTTTGTTTGTTAGGTTCTATATTTTCAACTTTATAACAAAGAGATTTTTGTATTAAATTAAATACAGGAATTCAACAACCTATTAACCGTGCTGCGTATATTAAACGAATATATTTTTAACTTAAATTTAATCATTTTTGTTTAATTCGAATGAAAGTGTTAAGATTGTGTTTTCCACTTAATGATAATAAAAACTAAGAGAAAAAAAATACACGCTTCTTTTGTATGAAAATCAAAATCAATTTAAAACAAAGCCTCAAGTTGTGGAATTAAAAATGTTAAGTCTATCAAAAATTAACTAAACTGTCAATACGCACAATTCTTAAACATTATGTTAATGATTTTAAGCCGGTATAGTTGTAAATTATAAAAATTTGCTTTTGATATTAATTCATACTTTTTATTGAAGTTAACTGAGGAAAACAATTGTAGACTCATTTTTACTACTCATAACACAAACTTCTGAAACAAATTTTCTATATATTATTTTAGAAATTCTAATATATGTATTATAAAGTTTAATAATAACAATAAGTTTTATAAATTTTTTGATTCAAGCACATTGTTCTTTTTTATTCTAATTTCAGATAAAAATCTTTAACCTGTGCAATTATAAAAATGACTGAACAAGGTTTATATGACAGAATTTACAATTTCCTCGTGGAAAATGAAGGTAAATAATTTAAAGCAAAAATCGAATTTTAAACACAAACAGAAAACTAATTGCATTATTTTGTTTTTTTAAATTTCAGATCCAAGAACAAAAGATTGGTTCCTGTCAGATAATCCTCAAAAATTATTTATGATCTTAGGAGCATATTTATTCTTTTGTTTATATGCTGGACCAAGATATATGCGTGATAGAAAACCATTTGAATTGAAAAATACACTTTTAATTTATAATGCATTTCAAGTGATTTTCAGTATTATATTATGGTGGGAAGTAAGTTAATAACAAATATTTCAATTTATATGAAGAGAATAATTAAAATTAAATAATTTTTTAAGGGTTTTGAAGCTGGATGGAGAAAAAATTATAGTTATAGATGTCAACCTGTTTATTATGGAACCGATAAACCACATGAAATGAAAGTAAGTTATCATAATTAATTAAAACTCATTTTAATATTTGAAAATTATATATAAATTTTTAGATGGCTAGAGCTGTATGGTTATATTATTTAGCAAAAATATCTGAATTATTAGATACAGTATTCTTTGTTTTACGTAAAAAACAACGTCAAATATCCTTTTTACATTTATATCATCATACATTGATGCCAGTATGTGCATTTGTTGGTGTTAAATATTTTGCTGGAGGACATGGAACATTATTGGGATGTATTAATTCATTTATACATATATTAATGTATGCATATTATTTGTTAGCTGCACTTGGTCCAAATGTACAAAAATATTTATGGTGGAAACGGTATTTAACTCAAATGCAAATTGTAAGTGTATACAAAGTATTTTAAAATGAATATAGTTTTAATGGTTTCCCTCATTTTTTTCAATATTTTAGATTCAATTTTTAATTGTTTTTGTTCACACTCTACAAGTTCAATTCCAACCAGATTGTGCATTCCCGAAATCAATTGCTGCACTATTAACATTCAATGCTGGTCTTTTTACATACATGTTCAGTTCATTTTATATTCAAAGTTATAGAAAAGAACAAAGAGACGCTGCAAAAAGAAAAAATGCTGAAATTAATAATAATGAAAAATATATTACAAGTGGTAAATCAACAAAAAGTGAATAGAATTTTAGGAAAAAATTTTAGTTTAACAATTATTAAACAAAAAAAAAAATTAGGTGCTTTCTTTTCTGTTATTTTTAAGAATTTTAAAAACAAATTTATTCTTATTTAGTTTATTATAAAATTTCACTTCGAAATTATAATTAGAATTTATTATGAAAAATATTTGGAAATAAAATACAAAAATACACAAAATATACAAATATTTTTAAATAGGATAAGTTTAAACAAAAAAACTTCTAAATTCTTTGAGATTGTAAATTATTATTAATTATTAGGAGCTAGGATCTTAAAAATGTAATTTTACAAAAAACAAACAAAAAAAAATGAAGTCACAATAATTTTTGTTGTGAAAACCAAAAATCTAATTTTAAATCTAAAATCTTTAAATATATTGCTATAAAATGATAAAAATGAAAATATTGAATATATGTAGCTCATAAATTTGATTTCTTGTTAATTTATACAGAAATTTTCTTAAATATATGTAGTTCATAGAAATATAATATATATAAGAATTAGAAATATATATATATATATATATATATATATATATATATATATATATATATATATATGTATGTGTAAGCGAATATTAATATAATAAAGAAATTAGTATGTATATAGAAAACGTTTTACATTTAGTAAGTAAAATAATGTAGCAAGAAAACTATTTCACACTCAGTCTTTACAGCAATAGTACATTTCCTTCATTGTATACAATTACAGCATAATTTAGAAATTTTAATATTTTTTACAACTTTTACAAAAGAAAATTGAAAGACATCTTGTTGGTTTCATTGTGTCTATCCACCTCTACGTCCATTCTCTATCAGAATAAAATGCTTACCTGTTTTATTCTTCTTGTAACATACAATTTCTAAACCCTAATTTTTTTTGGGTTCATCATTTCTATAAACGCAAAAAGGTAGCAAAAAGTTTCATTACAATGACAAAATATCGGCTGAAATTAATCGTTGTATTTAATGTTTTGTGTATAATCTTTTTTCTTTTAGACTGTAAGTTGTAGAAGTTTGAAAATTTACTGATGAAAGTCAACTTATTTTGTTTGAAAAAAAAAAATTTCTACCTGCTCCTCCCCATCCAAGTTAATCAAAAAATATAATTATATATCTTAATTCATTTATTTATCCGTAGAATTTGAGCACTATGTTGATGCTTCTTTAAAAAAAAAACTTTTCTTTTCACAATTATAGCAGAATGATAAGAAAGAAACGACTCGTTTAGAAAGATCCAATTAAGAACAAATATATTGTAATATTCGTGCTATTATACCCAGTTTTTTAAAGTACACTGAGAACCTACTATTATTTTACGTACTATTGCAACTTTATTTACAGTACTTTGTTTCTAATTTTGTTAATGTCTTTATATCTAACAAGTCCCAATACTAAATTTTTTTTACGAAATATTACGAATTTTTGGCTTCGTTGCTGGTTTTTTCTTTAAATGCCACTGATCGTGTCATATTTCTTATTATTTTTTTCTTCTTTTTTAAGTAAAAAAGAGTTTAATATTTTAAAAAATCTCAGGATATTATACACATTTTTTAAAAAGCTTCCCATTTAAATTCTATTGCACGAAAAAGAAAGGAAGGTAGGAGGAAAGAAAAAATGAAAAAAAATTTCAAATTCATATTTCAGTATGGTTTCAAATGTTAATGAGGTGTCGGCTAACAAAAATGTTATTAAAAGTAATATAAGGTTGACACATTTCAACAATTTGAATTATCTCATTTCGGTTATTTATACGTTACTTACCTATAAAATTGTTTCAAATAATTTCAGTTAGTTTTCAAGTTATTATTTTAAATAAATATGTATGTTAATAAATATGTATGTACCTACTTCCAATAAATTTTTTTTAAATAATTATTTTAAAACTATTTCAAACATGTTATATTGAGTGCTTCAAAAATTTTGCTGTGCTCTTTTTTCATATTTTATTAACAGGTAAACAAGAGCAATCTATTTATAAAATGTCCCTGCATGTGTATGTATGACCTATCTTAATTCTAAACGGAAAGAATTTTAAAATACCTGAACAAAAATTTTAAAATTCCTGTTATTTTACAGTCGGAATTTTTTAGTCATTTGGTAAAATACCATTTATTTCAAAAATAGAAAAATAGTCAAATCAGGTATAAAAATATATGATAGTTTTTTCCAAACATTTTAAATATTTTTTTTCTTAGGTAATTGATATAAATGATAGTAAGTTTTTAATATTTTTTCAAATAAAAATAGAGGTAAAATTTTGAAGTTTATATAAAATTTGTATTTAACAGATAATATTTGATTGTATTTTAGGTATTATTTTCTAATTCCCTCTTCAAATTTTTTCTTTACTATGCATTTATATCAATATTTAAGAATTATCTTTCATTAATTATATTTTCAACTTGACACCACAGTTACTCCCCATATCTTGAGTTAACTTACCCTATGAGAAAAAAAGCTGTTCACTTAAAAATAATGAAATGCTTTCAGTAACATATAAAACGTTGAGGGCGAAGGATGTGCTTGTTGTTTTTCCGCTTTTTTTATAATTTTAAAATAATTATCAATGAAAATATTAATATATTTTTTGGATTTTTCAAATATATTTTCTAAATTTTACCTGCTTTATAATAAGTGTGAATTTATTTTAATATTTCTTCTCAAAAAATAGCCACTTCGATTTAAAAAAAAACCATATAAAATAAGGTCGTGCTTTCAAGTTTCTCTCTGAGCATTGGGACTTGTTAGATATAAAGACGTTAAATTTTGTAATATCTGTGTTAGTTGATTTAGTTGTAGTTAGTTGATCTGTTTGTTTCTGGAAAATTAAAACGATTTAGATTTGTATAATGCATATATGCATACCTTGGCATTAAGAAAGTTATAAATCAAAGACGAATTTCTGACCCTTTTACTTCAAATTTAAATACATAGCAGTACATATTTCTTCAACTATCACTTTTTCATGTTCAAAATTTTCATATCCAGTTCTTGTATCTTAATTATGTAGATATTAGCGAGCACGATAAAGAAATATTATAATTATCCGTTTTATCAATTTAATTTTAAATACTATGAATTTAAGATATATGTAAAAAGACACAGAAACATTTAAATTCCTTTGGATGGATAAAACGATGGCTAAACCACCTTTAAGATATGTGTTTGCAGATTTTGAGGTAAGAAATACTTTGAATTTTAAATACTTTTAATAATTTATAAATAATATAATTTATAATTTATAAATATTATAATTAAATATTATAATTATTTATATTATTCCGTTAAATAATAGAAAAATATTATTTTTGGTTTTTACTCTATCTATTCAACTTTCGTTATTGTAATTTTGTGTGTAGAAACATTAACATTGAAAAATTATTCTCAAGTACCGAAGAATCAATATCAAAAATTTTAAAGCTTTAGCATTAGCTACTTTAATAAAAATTTGAAAAATTATCTGTATTAAAAACATATTTCTAACGAATTTGAAACTAGTAACGTTTTTATTTGATTTAATTTTTTCTACCCATAAATTACGCCAAAATATATGCAATGGAAGTAAAATTACTATCGAGAATCGAAAGCTTAGTCAGTGTTTGATTGAAGTGATTTGATTAAGAGAATTTGAGTTGTTATCGAAACAAGGTTTTTTAGCTAAGAATTTCAACAAAAATTAAGTACATATTTCGATATTTCTAATTTAATTTACGAGTGCTTGTTTTTGCCAATTTCCAAAAATTCAGGATAAAAATATTACTATAAAAGTTTTAACTAACTCATATTTTGTGTTGAATCTAATATTTCTTTAGAATTGGGTCTAAAAAAATATTAGACTAACAACCAACAGTTCCATAAATTAAGTAACTTTTAATCGTTTGAATTTTTGACCAACACCAAACGAAAAATAAAAATATCATCTTCATTAAAGCGCTGGAAATTAGCTATGGTCGCAATATAAAAATGATCAAATTTTCACTGCAATAAAAAAAAAATTATTAATCTGTTTAGAAAAACTAAATGACGTTATTTAAATTATGATTTCATTAAAAACAAGAATATTACATTTTTTATATTTTTTAATTTTTTTTTTCATTTTTTAGTTTTTATTCTGACCATTTTACTATATTTTTTAATAATGTTACATTAATTATATAACAAGAGTTACAGAAAATCTTCTTAAATTTTTATATGACTTTTTTCTTTGAAAAAATTATAACTACCAATAATTTAGCATAAACACAAAAATAAAAAACGAAAAACAGAAGCTACAATATTTCGAAGATTTAAAATTTCTAAAGTAATTTTATACTTATTTATTTAAAAAAAAACTCATAATTCAACCTATAAAGTTTTAATTTTTAAACATATAAATTATAAATTAAGTACAAATTAAATAAATTCTTAATTTTAATATTATAATGTTTATTTGCGATAGGAAATAATTTTATGGTCATATGCTATAAAGTAATATAAAAACTGGTAATTAATAGATTTTTTTAAAGAAATTAATTACTCCAATTTCTTAATGATGATCTTACAATTAGTAGATTGAATTATAAATTTAGAAAAGAAAATATTAAAAAGAAAAAAAGTTATGATGAGTTCGCATAAGGGCTATTTTCAAAAAATATTTGTGTCCGAATATTTCACATGTGTTGTCACAATCAAGATGCAAAATTAAAAAAATTTAAACATATTAATATGTACAAACAACACAAATTAGTTAAGTAATCAAAGCTTATGCGAACTAGAACATTTCAGTATTGAGTTTTTATTAACCAACACATTAAAAAAAGAACAAAGGAGAACATAATTAATTTTTTCTCTACATTAATGGTAATTCCATAGATTTTATGATGTATATTAATCTTATTAAGCTATGTTTACATTATCATTAAGAAGTGGTTATAGCGGTCAATGCTACAGTGTCAAATTTTGGCAGCAGCAAAACCGAATTGATAATAAGTTCTAAGTTAAATATTACATTCAATTTCACTAAATTGTTACATGAATACATAATATGATACAAGTTATAATAAAGTAAGATGAACTCAAAAACAATGTTTTAATTTAAAAATATTAATGTTCTTTATTAAAAATATCTTATCAACATTACTTTATATAAAATATCTAAAATTTTAAAAAGCATTTCGTTTAAAAATTTTGCTGTAAATTAAATATTTTTCTTTTTTTTTTAAATAAAGATTCGTTTTTTTTAATTTTATTTATTTCTGAGCATTTATAAGTTTAAATAGTGGTAAAATTTGGAACATGTAATTTATGAGAATTCATTAACAATTTCTTATTAATATACGATGACTAAATTTTGTAGATAGAAATTTTTAATCTAATTTTTATCCTTTTTTATTTTTATATTTTGTCTTAATATTAAAGTGTGAGCATAGCTTAATAATGGTTGATAAAATAATATTAATAATGTGTATATTTTATTTTTGAATTGAATTTAATATTATTTATGCGTTTAAAAATTTTCATTTGTATAAAAATCATTTTTATATTTATTAAGTTATTTTAAGAAATTCATTAAAAATTAACCTGCAGTTATTGAACATAGTAACATTCTATTATTCATAGCATTTATAGTTTTACAAAAACAAGTCTCTCATATTCTACATTAAATATGTTAGGAATATACCCGCAATCCAATTTTCTTTTACCAATTCATTTTTACTTAAATAGTCAAAATTGTTTCTTTAAAAAATATATACATATATATATACATGCATATGTGTATAATTTAAACATAATAAAAAAGTAATTATATATAAATAAATATGTATTACATATTTTTTTTTTTGTTGAAAAATTTACAAATAAATTTTAATATTAATAGAATTATTTATTTTGATATTTCTTTATACTATCATAATTTTAAAAGAAGTATTTGTTATTCTCATAAAGATTTATTTAAATAATAATAATAAATTTATACTTTTCAAAAAAAAATTTAGCTTTTTATTCGAATAACATTAATTAAAGTGTCAAATTTGTTTAAAATATATCAGGAAGAAAAGTAATTACTTTGGCAAATTTGATTTTTTTTTTCGCAAAAATTTTATAATTGTAACAATACCAAAAAAATTAAAAAAAATTTTTGACTTTCAAAAGTTTTTATCACATAAGGATTATGGGATTCATTCAATAATGTTGCATATTAAAAAGTAAAATTTGTTTTTGGGCACACTTTATAAATGATGTAATATTAACATTGTAACAAATAACAAAATAGTGTTAATTTTTTCTTATCAATAACTTAATTAGATTTATAAAGCCTCTGTTGGTTTTAAAATATCATTTTTGGTTGTTTCAGTTATAAAATTAATAATTGTTGTTAATTACATAATTTTATTATGTTGTAAAGGTTGTAAATTACTTAAATTTATTATGTGCATGACTGTTGTTATCCGCAACACAGAAATTTTTTATTTTATTTTCAAAATGATTTGTATTTACATATCCCAATTTCATTTAACATTTAAATTAATTGCCAATTTAAAATCATAGTCTTTTTTATATAGACTTTAATTTTGGGAAGGTCTTGCACATATTTCATCATAGTCGTAGGGTAACCACTAAAAATTATTAGTTATATGTAAATATTTAAGAAACTAACAATTTATTTAGTACCTTTGAATGTATCCATCCTCCAGAATAGTTATAATATTATGCAATATTTAGCAATCCTTCAAAAGTACATTTTCTATGTTGCATTGATAGAAATTATTTTTTCCGAAAATTTTTTTTGGAATACCGACATTTTGTTACAATCATTTTTTTTAGTAAAATTAGTATCGGCAGTTGACTTATAAAAATATATCAAATGCATATTAATATATTATATTAAGTTTCAGTTGTAATGAAAATCGAACTTATATAACTGTTCTGTTAAAATTTCTGAAAAATTAAAATTCAATTAGGCATTTGAAAACGTCATCCTGATACTTTCAAATTAATTGCCAAAGTAATTTTCTCAAATATGTATGTATATAAAAATTTTTATTATCAAACTACAAGAACTATTTTATTTTACAAATTTTGAAAAAAATATAGAACATAGAATAAAGAATTCGGCTTTAAAGAAATATTTAAACAAAATTTCTAAATTAATATTGAAAATTTTTAAAAAAGTAATATAATAACACAGACTATAACAAAAAAAATATCCAAGAAAATTATTCAAGTTTATTAAAAAAAATCTTTCATTTATTTGTGTTTTAACTTTAGCTGTCATTTATACAAAAATTTGACATCAGTTTCTATTTCTTTCAATTTCACTAGCAATTAACCGTACATTTTTTTCTATTCATTTAATAATTTTTAATATTATTTAAGAAAAAAAAATATTTTTTTTTGAATATCTTCACAGCGTAACCGCAGAGCATTCGCCAACTGTAATTCTATACATTGCCATTTCAGTTATTCCATGATAATGTACGAATGCAGCTGCTATTACTAAGACGTGGAAAATTTGATGAGATTGGAACTAAAATCATTAAAAGTTATTAATATTAACTTTTACAAGAAACTTTTATTGAATTATATAAACTATTTACCCATAAATCACACTTTCCCGGAAACCATCTTTCTGGTACACGTAAAGCGTAAAATAGCGCCCCAAGAATATACAAGAGACCTTAAATATATTTATATGTTATATAAATAAATTTATAAAATTTTATACTGCTTTTTTTACCCATTAAACATAACCACCCTAAACTACTTTGACTAATTTTGCTGATATAACCTTCCATTAATACATAATGTACAGCTGGAATGATGCCAGATAAACCAAAGCTCATAAATACACCAGCTCTTAGTGGCCTTAAATTTGGCTCAGAAAATTTATCCCATAATGACACAATTATCGATAACATTCCTAGGACACAGACAACAGATAAGTATATTAACTTCGGTTGATAATGACAATAAAATCCATAATATAACCATGGTACAAACGATCCCATTATTAATAATGCAATGCCACAATAATCTAATCTAAAATTATTAATAAAAATACAATATAAATATAAAATATACTTATTTATCAATATTATATAAAACTAAATGGAAAATTTAATATTTTATATTACATACTTTGAAAACAATTTGCCAATTTGTTCCGAGTGACAACTCAAAGTATGAAAAGCAAATGAAAATCCTAAACATATTATAGCGCCAACAAAGAAGGCACCAAATATTATTTTTTCCTGTAATTGAATTTCATGTAATGGTCTTGTCCAAAAGTACATTGCTATTCCAATAAATGCAACACAGCCTAATAAATGTGTCCAAATGTTGCCAGTTTCTGTATGTATACGAAATATTGATTTAAAACATGCTCTAAAAGATGGTAATGGTGGACGATGTCCAGTATGTAAGAAATCATTATCTTGTAACCATGTTGGTAAATGTTTAAAATGACATACAATCCAACCAGCTTCCCATACTTTTCTTACAAATACTTCAGCTTGTTCGGCAGCATTATGTGCTAAAGCACCTAAATCGATTTCATCTGCTAATACACCAGCTTTTAAGACTTCGGTCATCTAAAATTAATATACGATATTTATTTCAGACTTTAAACTTAAAATATTTTAGAAAATACAACAGCAAAAAAAAAATTTTAAAATTACCAAAAAAAAATAATTTGTAAATAGGTGCTCTTAAAGAATCAAGTAATTTCATTTATTTAAATAAGAAAAATGAAAAAATAAATTTAAGACAATTACAAAACAAAAAACTTTTTCTCACAACATTCCATTAAAATTATCTAGCCCTAATTATACAAAGAAAATGTATTTAAGAATATTTGACATTAAAACAGTGGCTTAAAATTACCAAAATTTATAGCCAAGAATATTGTACTCTGCAAACAGATCATCAAATATAATTGAACAACAAAGCAAGAGTTAAATTGTAAAATAGTAAAACAATGAAGGAAAATTAAACTTCGACTTTGCAATATTCGAATATGAGACACTTAATAAATTTACCTTAAAAAACTAAAAATATATACATATGTACATACTATAAAAAAAAAATTACAGAATGTTGAGTAAATTAATATTAAGATTTTGCTGATCTTAAAAATATTTCCAATAAGTGTTTCAGAATTAAAATCATTAACTAAATCGATGACTTTTAATTAACATTAGATCTCTGTAAATCACGTGATTTTAGAAATTAATTTTAAAATTATTTTCCTATTGACTTTTATTAAAGATAATAAAAAACATTCGAAATTTTCATAAAAAACTTCTATATGAAAAGATTTTTTAAATACACATACATAAATACTCGTACAATGTCTGAAAGTGATAATGAAAAGGTTAAATTCTTTGAACTTAAGAGAATTGTGCAAATGAATATTTTAAATATGAAAAAATTTATATTTGTTCGTTTGTAGATATTTAAGAAAAAAAACATTTAAAATTTATTTTATAAAAAAAAAACAAATAACAGTTAAATCAAGATGAAAACTGCGATAAATGATCTACATTATAAATGAATTAATTGAAAATTGATGTTAATTGTTAATGCGTACATTGGTCCATTAGATTGGAGCATACCTTAGTATTTGTGTATTTACATAGTTTTCACACCCCTAAAAAATTATACTTTTAACAAAAATACTCTGTTCATGTGATAAATTTCAATGCTTGTATTAAAATTTTTAACTTTTGGCCCTCGGCTTACCTCGTAATCAGAATAAAAGTGAAGAGTAATTTTTCTTTAATTTAGGAGACAGAAATATTGGAAAAATCTATACTATCAGCTGGTATTGGTACAGTATCTTTCTTTTAAAGTTATAGCAAAAAAAAAGAAAATCACGATTAGACCACAAACAAGAATAGTATAATAAGTTATTAATAGTATAATAATTTTAAAACAAACAATTTTTAATTCTCGATCAATTTAACCCTTAGTGGTGAACAGAAATAAAAATGTGATTTATTTTTAAAAAGAACTCATTTTTTTATTACAACATTGACACCCACGATTTTCTACATTAAAATTTTTTCTTTAATTATAAAAATGTAAAATTCAATGTTATTACGAAATTTTTATATGTATATGGCGCATCCTTAATAAATTCTAAATGTTCACCTCAGTTTATATTTTTAACTTTACGATTTTATATTTGTATTTTTTTATTTGAATGAATGAATGGCCTAACTTTTATTATAATTCGTATATACCATGACCTGAATATCGAAAGTTTACAAAACAAAAAATAAAAGTATTAGAATTTTGAATATTACTACTTTGAATACATTTTTTCTTAACAATATTTTTTCACAATTAAATTGAATTGGTGTAATTTAGACTCTAAAGTTAGATAACAGAAAGTCCATAGATACAATTGTAAAAGAATAAGTTAATTTATTTTTTATTAGAAATTAATGACTTGTATAACAAATTTTATGATTTGAACAACTACTGTTTAACTATGGTGTATGAGGTTTATAAGTACGTATTTAGTCCTACAATACCTTGGTATCCAAATATTACATATAAATAGCACCAAATCATAAAAAAAAATTCATCGAAAATATATTCATTTAAAACCTTAAACAGCATATTGATAAAATTAACTTAATTGGATTTTAATTGAATTCAATAATTGTTATATTGTTTTCTTTTTTTACTTTCTTTTTTATTATTAGATTTTATTAGAATAAATTTTAAGTTATATTTTGTCTATTATTTTATTAAAAAAATTGAAAAAAAAACTCTCTGTTTTGTCTTCTTTGAATGTCATTTAAAATTATCAACGCGCAAATTGAATAAAGTACAGGGTCAAATTTTTTATATTTTTTTTTGCGTGCTCTTGCAGTGAATTGAAAAGTTAAATACCCAGTTAAAATTAGAAATTTAAAAAAAAATAGTTCTTTGAATAAAATTTCAACCTAAGCGTTTTCGGTCACTTATTGGAAGGTTAATTTAGATTTAAGTTCGAATTTCGATTTATTAGGGAATTCCTTAAGTGAAAAGCATGATGTTATGTTACATTTATGCTCAACGTTATATTCATGTTATTTTGTACATTAAAAATCTGATGTGGTCAGCACATAACCGACCACAATGTGTATTGTCTAGTTAAGTGAAAGTGTAACAAAATATTATAAAAATGTCTGTTAAATACTTCTTTCCAGTTTTTAGGACATTAGTAAGCTTATAGTTAACATACCTAGAAAAATGTAAATTTTGCTCTTAGTAGAGTTTCGCTTTGTGCTACCCGAATTCTCTGAAATGCTCGTCAGTTATTTTCGGTAACAACCATAACTCAAATATCAAATTTCAAGAAATTCCATCAATTCGTTCCGTAGATATGGTGAAAAATGTAAAATCCGCCCGCAGATCAGTTTTCGAGCCCTGATCTTTCCAAAAAATTTATATGTTTATTGTTTCAATACAAAGAGTTTAAGTATTAAATTTGAATGAAATCGGTTGATTATTTCTCTTTATATACGCAAAAATGTATATTTGGCCCGTAGTAAACGCCCAGTTGCTGATGCCTGATTTCTTCCAAAAGTTAGGAATTTTTGCGTACGGTCGAGTAAAGCTCACATATCAAATTTCAAGTAAATCGGTTGAATATTTTCTTCAAAACGGTGAAAAATGTAAAATCGGCCCACATATCAGTTTTCGAGCCCTGATCTTTCCAAAAAATCTACATGTTCAATACGAGGAATTTAAATATTAAATTTCAATGAAATCGGTTGATTATTTCTCTTTATATACATGAAAATGTATATTTGGCCCGTAGTAAACGTCAAGTTGCTGAGTTGTTTCAAAGTTAGGAATTTTTGCATACGGTCGAGCACAGCTTATATATGAAATTTCAAGAAAATCGGTTGAATATTTTCTTCAAAATGGTCAAAAATGCCTGATATATCCCAAAAGTTCATCAATCCGTGCCATGGTCGGAATAAACTTACATATAAAATTTTATCAAAATTTTACACGGAGCGACAGACTGACAGGTTGCTAAAATGAGTTTATTTACACTTCCCTACTATGGAAAAGTCCATTCCCACCGAAATCTCGATATGCAAAATTTGTTGCCATCACATAACCTACCTATTGTATACACAAGACGATCGGTAAAAATTACTTGTTTTACAAAAAAGTATAGAACGCAATTTTCGCACCAGGTTTTCTTGTTTTTTGAATGTTATATACCATTTTTACTTAGTATTAATGAAGCTTATTTTGTAACCTTTAAAGTTTAATAACATCAAAATTCATATTTAATAAATTGATCCATTGATTTTCCATTTTTTGGAAGCAATTATGTAAATGTATTTTATTTTTTTTAAATTATAAAGAATAAAAAGAATAAATGAAATATGTACAACTTTCTACTATGGAAAAGATATTATTTTGTACTAACTGGGAATTGTAAACATTTAAAAAATTACTTATATAAAGAAATATAAATAAATTTTGTACTTAACCAAAAATTAATAAAACGCAATTCCAATTATTACTTATATAAAATTTAAAAAAAGAAAAAAACGTTTCTAATAACTTGATACCAATTAAACTAAATATAATTATTTTAAACAAACACAACAAGAATATACAGTGAAATTCATATAAAACTGTCATCCTGCTAGTTAAAAAAGAAATACCTTTTAGGTTATCATGTTGGTTTGTAATGTAATTAGTACGATATTGGCGCCTTTATTATTTACAACACAACTTCGTTATAGCTGGTGTTGCTGTATTTTTATTTTAAATTCTTTTAAATAATAATAAAAGCCCTAAATATTGTAAATGAAAGTGATGCAGTTTTACAACTCGTCCGTTAAGGACGAGGTTTTTTGAGGTTTAGAAAAATAATAAAAAAAAAATTTTTTAATAATTTTCAAGAAACAATTCATAAAATTGTTATACATGTAATACATGATCGCTGTTTTTTAAAAAATAATTTTAGATAGTTTTAACTATAATTAATGTTTCTCAGCTAAATACCTTTAATTTGTTAAATTAACAATAGTTTTGAACAGCTACGAATTACATTATGCTCTAAGTCGAGTAAATTTTTTTGAATAATTTCTCACTCGGCGAGCGTTCATACTTATTTGAAACTCACTGTACCATGCATACTACAATTTTGTCATGTATATATATGTAGGGATATAAGTATGTGTGTACATATTAAAATGTAAAAATTGTGAGTGAAAAACAACCATTGTTTTTGTAATGTAAAATTTTATATCTGAAAATACGATTGTTGGTGTGATTGTGTGTATTTAATTAAAAAAAATATATATGTATATTGTATATAAAATGTAAAAAATATTATAATTAATGTGAAAACTTGAGACAGATGAAGTATAAATTTGAAATTCTTAATTTAAATGCAAAATCTTGACATTTCTTTTCGTTTTTTTTATATTCAAGTTCATGTACGGAAATTCGAAATTTTCTTGTTATAATACAAATATATATACATATATATATGAGATGAATTTATGAGGAATGAGAAAGGTGAATTTAAAATGTACGTACATGCATACATAGGTGCATATGTATTTTTATAGTATGCATTAGGATATAACATAATTAAAATTTGAACAAAAAAAATAAAAGATAAACATAATACAATGACTACAAGTACCGACTATTAAAAAAACTTTACATAAAACTGAAATAAATGACAAAACTGACAATGAACAATAATATAACAAGTTTGCAAACTGGCAAACTCTGTAAGAAAAATTTCAGAAAATTTTAGAATAGAATTAAAATACTAATAATAACAAAATATACTAAATATTTATACATAAAATGTTCGATAAAAACATACAAAATGCACTTTAAAAGTTGTAAATATTAAGAAATTACTTTATGTGTATAAGTTAAATTTTATTGAAATTTAAAATTTACCGTTAAAGATGATAACAATAAAGACGGCCAATCTTTTCGATTTTTTGGTTTAACACCATCCCACTTTAGAAACAAAGAAAATTAGTAGAAAATATTTGTTTTTTTTTTTTTTATATTACGTTTATATTTAAAAAATGCTTATTTTAATAGTAATATTTTATAATATTATTATTGTAGTAAGTATTCAAATAATTATTGATTGTTGTTGTTATATAGATATGTACCTATTTAAACATAAGTTCTTCAACTCGATGTCATTATTCTGTCAAAAGAACTTTCATAATTTAATTAAATTTACATTAACATTTTGTCTCCCGAATAAAATAAAATGATTTAGTTTCTCACTTACATTTTAACATTTAGTGAAAAATTTTTATTTTATTTTTTACATTATTTTAATTTTATTTTCAGCTTAATATCAAGTTGCTGAACTTTAAATTACCAAAGATACACACACATACACACACACACAAATACAGGGCCATTAAGAAATTGCATTAGTAGAAAAACGGTTACAAAAACTTTTGTCGTAAAAAACAGCACAAACTATTTTTCACGAATTTTTACAGAAATCTCGTTAATAGCATTGATATTTTTATAAAATTTAAATAATCAAAGATCAACTTATAACAACTTCTTAAATGAAAAGAAATTGGAAACAAATCGAAGGGTACAATTTTTTTACCACAACCAAAACTTTTTTTGAACAAGAACCATTAAAATGAACTTCTAAAAGTATGCAAATTTTTTTTTATAATATTAAAAATTTAATTATAATTTTAAAAAAGTTTATTCTTATTAAAAATATTGTTCTTGTTATAACTTTTACATTTTTTTTCAAACTTCAACGCAAACGTAAAATAGTGCGAGTATTTGTATTCTTTTATATTTAATATAAGTATACGTATAGTATATATATATATGTGTTTTTGAAGTAAAATCCTGCTAAATATTCATATTCAAAAATACGCAAGAAAGAGAAAAACAAAAACAAGAAATAATGTCGCACAACTCAAATAACTGTTATAGAACAGTCATATGAATGCACTTCATAATATATTGTATAAAAATAAACCCATACTTGTTCATGGAGATAATTTCAATGTATATATGTATGTACATGCTATCACAATTCTATAATAATGAAAGAAATACGTATTTGATGAAACTAACTAATCAAATTTATCACTTATCAGCATACCCATCTAAATTTTTAAATCTATAAGTGTACAGTGGCGAGCATAACATTTTAGGTATTTTTATTATTGACACAATCTATATTTATTTTTGGTATTAATTTTCCTTGTATTGAGAACATTACAATTCTGGTCATAAAACTAGCAATATGATGAAATGTAAAATTTTCCAAATAATAAAAAAAAACTTAAATTAAATATTTTTAGTTATTTTTAAAATAAAAGCATACTTTTATGAAAATTTGAAGTTTTTATCAAAAAGAATATTATTTTACATGACTATTTGAATTTTGATAAATTTTAAATAAGTAGTGAATTTTGCCAATTTGCCACTGTATACTTATTTACATACATAGATTTTTATATTGTAGGTCATTCAAATTAAAGAGAATGGACAAGGGAATAATGAAATGTGGACAAATAATATTAGTGCGTAACCAATTATGTATGTTCGAATGCATATTTGAAAATTACACTGTCGTTAACTTAATTATCATATTATTACAAAATATACGTTTGATACATTTGCTAAAGAATGTAACAATAAAATGTTATTTGTGTCACATATACACACATCTTTTTTCGTCAATTATAAAAAAATAAACTCTTATATGCAATATCTCCCCTCATCACATATCACATACTTTTACTTAAAGTATGTACATCGTTTTCATTTCAGGTCACTTTTCAATTTAATTTTTATTTTGAATAAATTATTTTGCTAAATACTTATACGAAACTAAACCAGTTTGAAATAATTGCATAACTCTTATAAATTTCAATCAACAAGTTACATATTATTCTCAAATACAAAAAAATTACATAATTTGTTTTATCTTATTCTGCATTCAATTACTTACGTATATGACTTAATAAGTGATGCATCAAACTTTTATTTTATTTGGAATAATTTGAAATTAAATATTCAACTTCAATATTTCAACCAATCAATTTAAATATTTAATTAAAACCCGTTTATACAGGGTGATTCAATAAGATTCATGGGTAAAATTTTTGTTTGGAAGTGGTTGTCAAATCTCAACGGTTCCCGAGATACAGTGATTTTAACAAATTTTCACGAAATTTCTACTTTCACAAGCTTTGTTGCTTATAACTTTCCTTCGAAAAAGAAAAAGCTTCAAACGAAGAAGACAGTTTCTGAAAGTGCTAATAAAGGAATTAAAAGCAATATATTTTTTGATTTTGCATATCATGTACTTTCGGAATACCAATCATTCGAACTTTAAAAAAAATCAAATTCTTCCCTTATCTTAATTTTTGAATTTTCTCTAACCCGAGAATTTTGTACGAAATTTTTTAAAATTTTAAAATTTTTTCTATGGAATTTTGTCCAGTTGCTTAAGCTTTAATTTAAGTCATTAAACGTTAAAAAATCGTTTATGGTACAGGAAATATAGCATAAAACCCTTTTCTCAGATCAATCGAGAAAGAAATAAGTATTCGTTTTTTATCTCAAAACGTTCTAAGCGAGCTAAAATACTATTCTTTTTCACGATGAGGGTATGACAAAAATGCGCTCTACATGCTCGAAAAACAGAACTGCCAGATTTAGAATACATGTTGAAAGATTTAGAAATACATATTTCATATTTATTAAGGAATTTTATTTTTTTATATTCAAGCATAAAAAGGGGAGATTTTCTTTTCCTCAAAACCCTCACATTAGAAACAAAACAGAGGAAGATGTTTTTTAAAATTAAATTTTCTCTTATTAAACTTGCCTAATCTTTATTTTAAAGATAGAGTAGAATAGATCACGATTACGCATTAACTTTGTAGTATGTATTTCTTTATATATGTACATAAATATATGCACAATAATTTATCTTAAGTACATAATATACCATGTACATCATTGACGCATTTTCTTCTCATTTTTTAGCGTTTTTATATATAACTTTTCTAACACACTTATGTATGTATATGATTTTACACATATGTATTTGATATGTATTTGAAACCCAAAATTTTTTTGATTGAATTGCGACATAAAATTATTAACTCCTCTGAATACTTGACAAGTAACATACATATATTCTTATATAAATGGTTCTTTGTTAAGTTTAAAAAAAATTACGATAAAAATTTAAAGACATTTTTTTTAATCTAAGTCATACAATTATTACCAACTATTGAAAGCAACTCTAAAAAATTGCGAATAAAAATCTTAAAAAAACATAAAACCAAAGTTGATTCTTTTTACCGTGGTCTCAAGTTTATGGCTATAAAAACTTATAGCGAAATTTTGAGCCGTTTTAATCATTTCAAATCGCGTATTTAAAAAAAAAAATTATTTCCGGTCCCTAACCCTCCTTCTTATTTTACAGTTTACAATGACACGCATCAATCTTTGCAATTAAATAATTTTTCCAATCGTGTACGGTTTTGGAACAACACACGGCTTGAAAAGTTGAAAAACCATACATTGTTGAAGAACTGATTCACATATTAATTTTCCTATATCTGGTCAATAGCCTAATTTTACTATTTTTATTTGAATGAACAGTACACCAAAATAATTTTGTAATATGTGTGATTATACAAAACACCTTCAAAATATCCACACAGATTTATTATGCAAGATGCTTTCAATAATTTAGTAAAAAAAAAATCTGATATGGTCAGCACCTAACCGACCGCATTGTGTATTGTCTAGTTAAATGAAAGTGTTACAGAATATTATAAAAATGTCTGTTAAATACTTCTTTCCAATTTTTAGGACATTAGTAAGCTTATAGTTAACATACTTAGAAAAATGTAAATTTGGCTCTTAGTAGAGTTTCGCTTTGTGCTACCCGAATTCCCTGAAATGCTCGCCAGTTAGTTTCGGTAACAACCAGAACTCAAATATCAAATTTCAAGAAATTCCATCAATTTGTTCTGTGGATATGGTGAAAAATGTAAAATCGGCCCGCAAATCAGTTCTCGAACCCTGATCTTTCCAAAAAAGTTATATGTTCATTGCATTAATATGAGGAATTCATATCGTCTATTTGCCGATGCCTGATCTTTCCAAAAAATTTACATGTTCATTGTTTTAATACGGGGAATTCATATATTAAATTTCAATGAAATCGGTTGATTTTTTTTCTTTATATACACAAAAATGTATATTTGGCCCGTAGGAAACGTCTAGTTGCCGATGCCTGATTTCTTCCAAAACATACGAATTATTGCGGACGGTCAAGCTGAGCTTATATATAAAATTTCAAGTAAATCGATTGAATATTTTCTTCAAAATGTTCAAAAATGTAAAACAGGCCCGCTAAAAAGTGCAGTTCCCGAGGCCTGATATATACCAAAAGTTGATCGATCCGTGCCATGGTGGAAACAAACTTACATATAAAATTTCATTAAAATCGGTTCAGCCGAACTTGAGATACACGCGTGCACACACAGACCGACAGACCGACATATTGCTAAAATTAGTTTATTTACACTTCCCTACTATGGAGAAGTACGTTCCCACCGAAAACTCGATATGCAAAATTTGTTGCCATCACATAACCTACCTATTGTTTACACAATACGGTCGGTAATAAAATGTCAATATCAAAAATAAAACAAGTTTGAAAACGATTTGTAACACCGACGTAAAAACATGTTTTATTTCCCTTTTATAAGTTTAATAGAAACCAATAACTAAACAAAAATTGAGTAATTGAGTAATTTTTGTTTAGTAAATAATAATATTAAGAGAGTTGAGAAATTTTAAAATATGATGGATGTTCGAAAAATAGTTAAAAGAAAATTTGATTTTGTATGAGCCTTTAATCATTGTACTAGTATGAATAAGTCTTCGTAACATTTTTAGTTTTAACTGAATAATCAGAGTAAAATATGATT